AATGTGCCTTCTTTCAAAACAAACAACAGCAACTCTGGTGAAGAAAATTTGAGTTTAAACCAGAAGTGGATTTACCATGAAACTAATGAAGCTTAAGTTTCAAGGCCCCTCATTTGAACTTGAAGTGTTCCTATGTCCATATGTTCTCATAAAATTCACAGGAATATATTTTAACTGCAAATCTTTGAGACCATTGTTTCTTTCCACTTTCCACTTTCCACTTCAACTTCCCCTTGTTAAGGTTAGGTAGCATCGAAGAAGCCATGGGCATTTTTGGACCATGTCTAAGGAAGTTGATCTTTGGTTTTGGTTTAGTGAAGTATTTATGAAGTTCACAGATTCTTCCATGTAGATGTTAGCTGTCCCAGTGCAAAAAACAATTTTCACTCCTAATCTTACCACTCCCTATATCTGTGCATCTAACTTTATAAAAGGAATGTGAAGGGCCCCATATAACCCTCATAATATGCCACAATATTAGGGACACCAAAGAGAAGCTGGTCAGTGAGTGTCATCAATTCAGAGTACTTAAAATTACTCCCTACAACAAGCAAATCCCTAAAATGCCTTGAAATTTTATAGCTCATATATGAAATTCACTTGAGAGAAGTGTTTCTAAAATTAATAATAATCCTAAAAATGTATGCACCAATACCAACAAGTTGTGAAACCAAAAGGAACCTTTCCATACTATTAATTGTTTAAAAATATGTTGTTTGATCCACCATGCTAGAAGAAAGACTGATTTCTTCTTCTAGTCTCCCACAGAAAGTATGACAAAATTCTTGTGGCATGAATAGACAATCAAATAGTATGCAGACAAATAATTTTATTGAGGGGTATGTCAGACAGCTAATTAGTTAAAAAAAAATTTTTTTTTCTGGTCTTTGAGATCTTTCCTGAATTTGTCAACTTGAAATGTTTTGTTGTGGCAGTGGTTTATTTTGTAATTCTAAATAAATACTTAACTTCTTACCAAGTAGTTTTAATTATTTTTCTTAAAAAGGACCTCCAAAATGGTATAAGCTTTAGGTCCACAGGCTTGCACCTGGTTGAAGTGAGTACCTCACCCACGCACTCTGATAGTAGATGGGAAAGAACCTAATGGATCTGCCCTTTACAGCTGCCTCAGTCTCCTGAAAACCAAATCTGCTTATTATTAAGTCAGCAAATGCACAGTTGATGGATTGTAATGACTCTGAAGGAATCTGTGTGGCCAGAAAGATAAATAATACATTGTTTAAAGGTTTTTGAACTCTTATAATGTTTTGGAAGAAGACATTCTTTAAAATACAAAAGAAATTAAGAGGGAGGATGTATCATGGTTAGAGAGAAAAATACATAAACAACCAATTATGATTAACCATGCTAGATGAAAGGTGATTTGTCTCTTATTTCCAACTATGGGAAATACTACAAAAACATCATCATGTGAAGTGTCAACTAAGCAGATGCCATCTAACAGAGGCAGTCTATCTTGACTGAATATATCCTTAGAATCTGTTTGTTTCTTTTCAGCAAGGGTACTGCTTCATGTAGGATGGTACATGGCTTCATATAGATGATGCAAATGGCATATGGAAGATATTACCTGTTTCTTTATTGTTAACACATCCAGTTCTCCATGCATGTCGAATCTCACTCCCAGCTTTAGCCCTTTATAGGTATAAAGGGAGAAGTTGATTCCTGTGTCGGTAGATGTGCTCCTTTGTCTTATGCACTTTCTCTCCTGCACCACTTTGAAACATCTCAATATTTTTAATGCAGCATCTGAATCTGTTTCTTTAAAATTCTCTTCTCTTAAGGCTTTTAGTCATACCTTAGATACAGGTTTACTAAAAAAAAATTTTTGAGGCTGTAAAAGTTTGATAAACACTTGTTTATACCACATCGAACTGATTTATTTACATCTTTTTAACAGTACTTCTCAGAGCCTTTAATAATCATTCTCTGAGTAGAAAATATAGAATGTAGTTTGGATACTTCCCAAATTATTTGATGACAAAACCTTTTTTTTGAGGAACTAATATTTTAGAGACCATAATTTTAGGAAATTCTGCTTTAGATTATAATGAAATAAGACAATGGAATTTAAATGCTTTGTTTAACGTAAAAAACAAAAAAAAGGTACTATGATAATAACTATTATTAATATTATTATTACTATTATTATTATTATTAAGACTACCATGTTCAAAGGAATCAATTGGTTCTCTCATTCTTTTCTAATAGAAGTCATTTAAGCTGTGTATAGACTGAAAAGAAGATGCACTAAGACAAACATATTCACTTGCATAATTTTCTGCTGTAATAGTTTTGTTTTACAAAGAGATTGAGAAAAATTATACAAGCTTCTAGCTATCGAGATTTTTCCTGTGGCCTCAGCAGTTTTCACTATGTTTTTAATATTCTTCACTGAATTTATCAAAGAACAGTGACTATCAATGTAATCCCTATCAGAATTCCAGTACATTTTTTGCAAATGTAGAAAAATTCATTCTAAAGTTCATATGGAATCTCAAGGGGCCCTGAATAGCCAAAACAAATCTAGAAAAGAAAAACAAAGTTGAAGCACTCACATGTCCTGATTTGAAAACATATTACAGAGTTACAGAAATCAAAACAATATGGCATTGTCACAAACACAGACAAATAGACCAATGGAATAGAGAGCCCAAGCTGGGCATAGTGGCTCACACCTGTAATCTCAGCACTTTGGGAGGCCGAGAGGGGCAGATCACCCTAGGTCAGGAGTTCCAGAGCAGCCTGGTCAACATGGTGAAACCCCAATCTCTACTAAAGATACAAAAATTAGCTGGGTGTGGTGGCACACACCTGTAATCCTAGCTACTCGGGAGGCTAAAGCAGGAGAATCACTTGAACCCAGGAGGTGGAGGTTGCAGTGAGCCAAGATTGTGCCAGCACACTTCAGCCTGGGCAACAGAGTGAGACTTTTTATCAAAAAAAAAAAAAAAAAAAAAAAAAAAATAGAGAGCCCAGAAATAAACCCATGTGTATAATCAAATGATCTTTGATTGGGGTGCCAAGATCACTCAAGGGGGAAAGAACAGAGAAATAGATAAATGGTACTGAGAAAACTGGATATACATTTGCAAAAGGATGAATTTGACTTTTATTTTATACCATATACAAAAATTAAATCAAAATGAATTAAAGACATAAAAGTAAGACATAAAATTATAAAACTTGTAGAAGAAAATATAGAGGTGAAGCTTCATGACACTAGACTTGGCAATGATTTCTTGGATACAATACCAAAAGCACTGGCAATACAAGCAAAATAGATAAATGGGACTGCATCAAACCTAAAAACTTCTGCACATCGAAGGACACAATCAACATAATGAAAAGGCAGCCTATGGGATGGGAGAAAGTATTTGCCAATCATATATTTGTAGGGGTTAATATCCAGAATATGTCAGTAATTTCTACAATGACTCAATAACAAAAAAATTAAATAACCTAATTAGAAAATGGGCCAAGGCATTGAATAGACATTTCTTCAAAGATGATATACAAATGGCTAACAGGCATATGAAAAAAGTTGCTCAATATCACTAATCATCAGAGACATGCAAATCAAAACCACAATGAAATTTCACCTGAGACCCATTAGCACGGCTATCAACAACGACAACAACAACAACAACAACCCCAAAAAAACCAAAATAATAAGTGTTTGCAAGGATGTGGAAAAATTGGAGTACTTACATACTACTGGTGAAATTGTAAAATGATGCAACTGCTGTGGAAAACAGTATGAAACTTTCTCAAAAAAATTAAAAATAGAACTGCCCTATGATCCAGCAATCTCAATATGTCCAAAAGAACTGAAATCAGTATGTTAAAGAGATATCAGCACTCCCATGTTCAAAGCAGCGTTATTCACAATAGCCAAGAGGTAGAAGCAACCCAAAATGTCCACTGATGGCTGAATGGATAAACAAAATGTGATATACACATACAATGGTCTATCAATCTGCCTTAAAAAGGAAGGAAATGCTAACACATGCTACAACATGAATAAGCCTTGAGGAGATTATGCTAAGTAAAATAAGCCAGTAACAAAAGACAAAAAGCATATAATTCCACTTATATGACATATCTAAGTGGTGAAGTTTACTTTTAATGGCAAGAACTGCAATTACTTTTACACCAACCTAATAGAAACAGAAAGTAAAATGATGGTTACCAGGGGCTGGGGGGAGCAGGGAAAAGGCATTTGTTCTTTAGTGGGTATAGAGTTTCTGATTTGAAAGATAAAAAGCTCTGGATATCTGTTTCATAGCAATGTGAATATACTTAGCATTACTGGACTATACACTTAAAAATGGTTACGATGATCAATTTTATGTTATGTGTTTTACACACACACACACACGACAACCATAAATAAAACAGTGACTGTCTGGTAGCTACTCAAAGATGAATGAAGGTCATTTATAACTAGACTTTCTAGAACAATTGACTTTTTTGTGTGTGTGTGTGACAGAGTCTCACTCCATCACCTAGGCTGGAATGCAGTGGCACCATCTTGGCTCACTGCAACTTTCGCTTTCCAGGTTCAACCGATTCTCTTTCCCCAGCCTCCCAAGTAGGTGGGATTACAGGCGCCCACCACCATACCTGGCTAAGTTTTGTATTTTTAGTAGAGATGGGGTTTCGCCATGTTGGTCAGGCTGGTCTCAAACTTCTGGCCTCAAGTGATCCACTCACTTTGGCCTCCCAAAGTGCTGGGATTACAGGTGTGAGCCACTGTGGCTGGTCTACAGTTAACTCTTGAACAATTCAGAGGTTAGGGGAACCAGACCCTGTTCAGTCAAAAATCTGCATATAACTCTTGAGTCCCCAAAAACTTAACTACTAAAAGCCTACCATTGACCGGCAGCTTTATAGATAATATAAATACTTGATTCACACATATTTTGTATATGTTTTATATACTGTATTCTTATAATAAAGCAAGCCAGAGAAAAGAATATTATTAAGAAAATCATGAGGAAGAGAATATATTTACTATTGATTAAGTGGAAGTAAATCATCATAAAGGTCTTCATCCTTGTCATCTTCACATTGAATAGGCTGAGGAGGAGGAGGAAGAAGGGTTGGTCTTACTGTCTCAGGTGTGGCAAAAGAGGAAGAAAATCCACGTATAAATGGACCCATGCAATTCAAACTCATGTTGTTCAACTGTACTTCTCTTTCTGTGTACCCTTGTTCACTTTTGTTCTAATCAAATGAGTTCTTTTAATAAATTCCCCTTGGAGCCAGGATACTTAAGAGATTATAAATAGATGGTATACGTATATAAAGGGTGTTAACAAGTGAGAAATTGACACCAAGTCTGAAATGTTTTCATTTGATGTTTCCTTTCAAATTTTGCAACTGGTGATCATACACCTCAAGGACTGCTTGGCCATACAGTCTGTGATGACTTTTACTACTTAGATCTTTGCGAAGTATCAAAGAGACTAGAGTCTCAGAAGCTGGGCCATCTCCTCACCTCCTACAGTCCGTGGGAACCTGCAATACCTCTTCTTTCAGTCAAAGACTTGATTAGACTTAACACCATCTTTGGCTTTTATTCTCCCTCAAGGTCAAGACGATCCCTGGTGTCAGGTTGGGAACTTGAGTGCCTTTAGCATTTCACAGCACTAGGGCAGCCTTTTGAGTTTTGAGAATCATTGCTTTGATAGAAGTGCCAGGACAAATAAAGGTAAGAAATGCAATACCATTGCAGCTTCATTTACTCCTATTTGTGGCATCCAAGAAGGTGTATTTCTTTATATTAAAAGTGCTGTGTTTTACTTTTATTTCTCAAAGAGAATATTCATAGCTCAAAGCAAAAAAGCTTTTGCAACTTCAACACACATTTTTGACCTGATAAAGTGTTTTTATATTAATAGCATCAAATAAAAGGGTAGAATTATAAGAGGGAAACATTTTTCTGGCAACAATGCAGACTTGATTGAAAGAGTCACAGGCTGCAGAATGACCTTTGAGAAACAAAGTGCATTGCATGCATTTCCATTTGATCTTGCCTTTGGCTTACAAAGTGTAGCAAATATTAGAAGGGAAAAAGCTATTTTAGAATTGAGCCTGTAGCTGCTTGGCATAGAAGGCATACGTTAATGAATGGCTTCCAGAGATTGAGGTAGGGCAATCATTTTCCCAGGTAAGGAGATGGCCCAGCTTCCTAGACCTGCATCTTTTAAAACTTTGCACAAAGATCTGAAAAGCAAAAAGCTTCAGAGACCATGTATAGATTAGAAACAGATATTTAAACAGGTATTTCTTCCACAGTGGATTTAGTAATTAGTAATTCTTACAAAATCCACTGTGGAGGAAGCTCCTATTTTTCCATTCTGCCATTTTCCCATTATTCGTTTTATTATATAGCATTGATAAGCTCCCATATTTCTTCATCTGCTTTGGTCCATGCAGTCTGAGTCTCGGAGCAATGATATCACCAGTGTCTTGAGTGATAAGGGCAGTGGTCTGAGGCCTGAGCAGTGCCTGTGGAGAATGGAGAGAGGAAGAGAAGGACTCCTAGGACTCGTGCTGGGCAGTGAGCTCAACCTTGATTTTCCTCCCTGTTTCAAAAAGGGGACATCTGGGCTCCCATCCCGCTTCAGCGCTTCCTTGAATTCTTTCCGTTTTGTTTTTGTTTTGAGATAGAATCTTGCTCTGTCATACAGGCTAGGTACAATGGTGCAGTTGTGGCTCACTGTAGCCTTGAACTCCTGTACCCAAGGGATCCTCCCTCTCCAGCTTCCCTTTGTAGCTGGGACCAGATGTGCACACCACCACACTTGGCTAATTTTTATCTATTATTATATTTTGTAGAGATAGGAGCTGGCCATATTTCCTAGGTTGGTCTTGAACTCCTGGCCTCAAGTGATTCTCCCACCTCTGCCTCCCAAAGTGCTGAAATTAAAGGTGTGAACCACCACCATTAGCCTTCCTTGATTTCTTTTTCCTTCCTTCCTTTCTTCCTTCCTTCCTCCCTCCCTCCCTCCCTCCTTCCCTTCCCTTCCCTTCCCTTTCCTTCCTTCCTTCCTTCCTTCCTTCCTTCCTTCCTTCCTTCCTTCCTTCTTTCTTTCTTTCTTTCTTTCTTTCTTTCTTTCTTTCTTTCTTTCCTTCTTTCCTTTCTTTTTCTCTCTCTCTCTCTCTCTTTCTTTCTCCTTCCTTCCTTGCATTCCTTTCCTTTCCTCTTCCTTCTCTCTCTCTCTCTTTCTTTCTCTTTCTCTCTCTCTCTCTCTTTCTCTCTCTCTCTCTTTCTTTCTCTCTCTCTTTCTTTCTTTCTTTCTGTCTTCTTGGCTGCCCAGGCTGGAGTGCAGTGGTGCACTGCAGCCTCAAACTCTATAGCTCAAGGGATCCTACTGCCTCAGCCTCCCGAGTAGCTAGGACTACAGGCATGTGCCATCACATCTGGCTAATATTTTATTTTTTTGTAGAGACAATCTCTCTGTGTTGCCCAGGCTAGTCTTGAACTTCTGTCTTCAAGTGGTCCTCCTGCCTCTACCTCCCAAAGTGCTGGGATTACAGGTGTGAGACACTGCACCCAGCTGTAGACTTCTTGAAGATGGCAGAGAACAAAAAAGACCAAAGGAAAAAAAGTGAACAAAAGAACTAGATTCCAGATCATTTTCTCCAGTCCCTCAAAACTAATGTGCTTAGTGAGGTCTTCAAAAATGTAGGCATTATTTGTGCTATTTTTGTACAGATGATCCCAATTTTGAGTGTGTCTCTAAGATTGATGACTGTTATGAACATTTTTAGATATCATGGAAGATAGTAGTATAATGACCTTCTGTATTTCCATCATCTAGCTTTACCCATTTTCATACATTATGACAGTCTGATTGTTGATTCACTGCTATTTACTAAAGTCCATGCTTTAATCAGATCTCCTTAACTTTTCCCTAATGGTCTTTTTCTGCTCTAGGATTCCCTCCAGGATATTACTACATCACATATAATCATCCTGCCTCCTCAGGCTCCTCTTGACTCGTCTATTAAATTACTGGGTCCAGGAGGCCAGGTATTTTATCACTAGCACCAGTGGCTTCTGGAATAGGACCTCAATAAATGTTGTTTGAATCGACCTTGTTTCTATTTTAAAATGTCATGGCTTTGATTGAATCATCTAGTACCTGCTTCTGAGTGGCATGATCTGCCTATATATATTTTTCTCCAATACCTATAGTGAGATTTCACTTTGTCCTGGTGCTTTATGCAGGGATTTATTTATTGCAACTAGTAGATCAATAATATGTGATTAAATTCATAGGACAGGCATCTGCCTGGTCTTCTTGACTGAGCTACTACCTGTGTCTCTATCTCTGAAATAACAGAAGAGATGCATGAGAACTACTTTGCTCTTATTGGGTGTGTCATCTTGAGCTGATTACATAAACTTTCTAAGCCTCTCTCACAGTGCTTCATATGAATTACTGAGATCAGGTATAGGAACCGCTGACATAGATAATAGTGTTAACAGCAGCCCAGGAGTCTTTGTGTGTTATGGGTACAGCATATTCAATCTTCACAACAGACTTATGCAGTAACCACCTTTATCCTCATTTTACAGTTTGGGAAACTAAAGCACAGAGAAACTAAATAGCACATCTAATACTACACAAATGATGAGCAGCAGAACTAGGATGCGGACTCAGGACTGTCAACGCACACTCTATGTGAATGCTTTATATATAATATATAATATATAATTATATTATATAATATATAAATATAATATATAATATATTATATAAATATATAATATATAATATAATATATAATATATAATATATAAATATAATATATAATATATAATATATTATATAAATATATTATATAATATATAATATATAATATATTTATAATATTTATAATATAATATATAATATATATAATATATAATATATAAATGCCATGTGGGGCTTTTAATATATAATATATAATATATAATTTTGTAATATATAAATATATAAAATATAAATATATTATGTAATATATAAATATATAATTATATATAATATATAGATATAATATATAATACATAAAGATATAATAATAAGGATATAATATAAATATACAATATATAATATATAAATCTATAATATATAAATCTATAATATATATTATATTATATAAATGCCATGTGGGGCTTTTAATATATTATATAATATATTATATACTATATAAATATGTAATATATATAAAATATACATTATATATTATATATTTATATATTTATAAATATTTATATATTATATATTTATATATTTATATAATAATATATATTGTAAATATATATAAAAATATATATTGTATTTTATATTATATATAAATATATTATATATTATATTATATATAAATATATAAAATATGTAATATAAAATATATTATATATAAATATATATAAATTTATAATATTTAATATTGAAATATTATATAAATATATTTTATATATATATTTTTTTTGAGACAGAATCTCTCTCTGTTGCCCAGGCTGGAGTGCAGTGGTGTGATCTTAGCTCACTGCAACCTCTGCCTCCCGAGTTCAAGGGATTTTCCTGCCTCAGTTTCCCAAGCAGCTGGGATGACAGGCGCCCATCACCACTCCTGTCACCTACTCAGTGCTTTTTAAACAAGCCCTCGTTCTTGCTACCGGGTCCAACTGGTCTTCTGTTTTCATTAAATCAAGAAGACCTGTCCCATGTTACCCCTGGAGTTTCAGCTCTCTACATGTGTCTGTTAAAAGTTTAAGTGGACAAAGCCAGTGAGGGGAGCCCAGGAACTCGGTTTAAGCCGCACTTTGACAGTCTGTGAACCTGTTTGACAACTTTCTCCCCTCTCTGCCTCTGTGAACGCCTGTGCACCAACGAAATAGCTACCTCTATCCGCTGTGGTCAGCGTCAGGAAAACAGCAAGAGCCAGCTATGAATCTGTGTCTTCGTCCTCCTTTAAATTTCAGCAATATTTCTGAGAGAGAGAGAGAGAGAGAAAAAAAAAATACTGTTCAGCTCAAAAATTTCCTCTAAATGATAAAAGGAAAACGCCGCCGCTCCCTTTGCACCCTAGATGTGGGCTGCAGGGCTGCCTGGGCTCTGCTAACAAAAGCACAAAGCGTGAATGGCCTGGTGATGGCTGGTTTTCGCCCTTGGACTGAGAGATGAGATCACGATTTTCACGAAGAGAAGGAACCGCCGCTGCCAGGCCGTTCAGGCTGCCGCTTCCCCTCCCCGCGCGGGTCCCGCATTACATCACTGGTGAGCTCTGGCTTGGGGGTGGGTGGGTGAAAAGGAGGCTTCGCCAGGGACCCAGCCCCAGGGCGAGGAGGATAAACAGAACCACACTGGTGGGGAAGTGGTGTCGAGGAAGAAAAAGAAGGAAAACTCAGGACTCGGTTTTCTGCCACGACCCCGCGTAGGGGGCGGGGGGCTGCTGGGGTGAAAGGCAACATCTTTATAGAGCAGCCGCACCCCAAATCTCCTTCCCGCGCGCCTCCAGGCCGCCCTCAACTCCCAATTTCAAGTCCAACAAAAACCGATATCCTAATCTGCTAGGAAAGCTGCACTGAGGGGGCCGAGGGGGACTGCAGAGGAACCCAGGGACGCGGGGGGACCGCGGTGCACGCGCAGGGGGCGGGGGGCGGGGAGGCGAGAGGGGGAGGCGGTCGCTGCTGCGCCCCCGCCTGGCCCAGCCAGCGGTGCCTCCCCCGCCAGGCGACAGCAGTCAGAGGGGGGAGGCAGAAGCGACTCCTCCCCGCCCGGAGCCCAGGCGGCGGTGCAGGGGGAGGAAGGCACCTCACCTTGCCCCCGATGAGGGGCGGATCATGCCATGGCAGCGCCGGCGAGCGACAGCGGCGGCAGCCAGCAGAGCCCGAGCAGCAGCCCCGGGAGCCGGCAGGGAGCTGGGGTCGCCGCGGAGGGAGCCCCGGACTGCGGAGACGCAGGAGCCCGGGACGCAGCAGAGACGGTCTCCGGCCTCGCTCCGCTCGAGGACTACGAGTGCAAAATCTGCTACAACTACTTCGATGCGGACCGGCGCGCGCCCAAGCTGCTGGCGTGCTTGCACACCTTCTGCCAGGAGTGCCTGAGCCAGCTGCAGCTCCGCGCCGCCGCCGCCGCTGCCGCTGCCGCCGCGCCTGAGCGCCCGCCGCGCCCGCCGCCCTGGCTCTGCCCGCCCGGCGCCATCGCGTGCCCGGTGTGCCGCCACCGCACGCCGCTGCCCGACAGCCGCGTGCACGGCCTGCCCAACAACACCAAGCTCGCCGAGGCCTTCCCGCTGGCTTTGCGCGCCGCGCACGACCCGCTGCCCCAGGACCGCCTCCCGCCGCTGCCCGCGCGCCAGCCCGCGCCCGCTGCTGCCCCTCCGCCTACCCCGGCACCGCCACCGCCGCCCTCCCCGGCCCCGCCGCAGCCGCCGCCGCCTGCCGAGGACGCGGCCCCCGGGCCTCGCGCCCGCCCCGGCCTCCGCGCCCCGGGGTCCTACGACAGCTGCCAGAACTGCAAGCGCGCGGCGCTCACCGCCGGCTGCGTGTGCGTGGTCTTCTCCTTCCTCTCCATGGTGGTGCTGCTCTTCACCGGCCTCATCTTCGTCAACCACTACGGCGGCGGGGGACCCCCCGGAGGAGGGGCGCCCCCTGGCGAGGCACCTGCCGCTGGGTCGCCCTCACCCTCGCCCGTGGGGCCCATCTGCCTGTCGGTGGCCAGCATCCTGGCACTCTTCTCAGTCGTTGTCACCTGGGTCATCTGCTGGCTCAAGTATCGGCCCGAGGGTGCGGCCGCGGGCTCGACGGGGGGCAGCGGCGGCGGCGGCCCGAGGGCACGGGCGGCGGCGGGCGGCGCGCGGAGGAGCGACACATAGCCGGGCCGCGCCGCGGACCTGGCGTCTGCACCTCCAGCTCCGCGCGGCGGGAGAAGAGGGGGCCTCTGGCTCTGTGCGCTCGACCTTCTGCGCCCTCTCCCTGCGGCCCTCGGGCTCTCCCGGACTCACACCCTCTCCCAACTCGGCCACTGAGGGGCCTCGGTTTTCTGTCCCTCGGGCTTCTGTCGCCCCTCGTCCTTCGCGCTGGGCCAGAGAGGGAAACTGAACAGGCGAGGATGCTGGTGGGAGGTCTCTTTTGCCCGGACTGTGCAAAACTGACCTCCGCGTTATGCACCACCTTCGTCCTCGTCAGAGTGTGCGGCCATCCCTCCCTAGAGCACAAGGATCTTCAGAGAGGAGGCAAGGGGAGGGGGAGCCCCGCCGCCCCGCCCGAAAGCTGGTTTTCTGGCTGCCAGGACTTGAGAGTTTCTTTAAAGGTGCAGCTGCGCGCGCGCACACGTGCATCTGTGGCGGCTGTGAATGGACTTAAATTGGCCGGAGGAAGAATGAACGGGATATAAACGTGACAGGAAAAGGGTTTCCTGCTTCGTAGCGGTCCTGGAAAGGGAGAGATCCTGAGCGCTGAGAGTGACGGACACTCCCGGCCCGCACAGCGCTGGCGTGCCGGGAGCTGCTGGAAGAACCCGCGGGCAGCCGCTGGGCGCGATGGGGCAGGTGCACGGCGCGCGTGCGCGCTCGGGGCAGACTCCGAGCGGCGGAGGTGGCGGTGCGCCCAGGGCGGGGAGCCCTGTTGCTCATGGCCGGGTGTTGTCTGGAGCAGAGCCCAGAAGTCTCATCTCCTGGAAGCTTGTGGTTGTTTTATTCACGGTGTTACTGCCAGGAAGTCATTTCATCTTCTGTAACTGGACTCAGGGAGCTTAAAGAGCCTGTTCTCCCTTCTCTCAAAAGTGACTTACTGTTGCCCCCACCTGGAAGATATTGAAAGCTATTCACAGCGAATATAAACTATATTTTCTCCTTTCCCTCGCCTTTTTTTCTTAATTTCATTTAAGATATAATTTATTTTTGAATATATAAATCCGGAAATTTTTGTGCATTAAGATTTCCAGAAAATTGTTTGATAAGCGGTGACATTAGTCCCATGCCTCGCGTCCAAATACATTTCGAAATTAGGAGCAGAAAATAAAGGCCTGTTGGTAATTGATTCAATATTTTATACTGTGAAATAACTAATGACTTTTAATTATCTGATAAAATATAAACTAGTGCCCAAAGATGAAATCAACTAACTGAAGGTCTTTCTGCCTTTGACTACAAAGATATATATCGTATACATTTATTAGAAAGTATTATATGATTTTGAATTTAGCTGTTTGATATTGTTGGAATCACTGAAATGTTCACATACAGTCACATGAGATGAAAAAGAATATATATCTATCTGATTTTGTAACTACAAAGATGAATTACCAGTGTATGTTGCAAGTGGGTTAGATGCCTTTTTCTTAAGAAGGGAAACTGTTCCAAATGTACTTTATATGAAAACATTCCTTATTCCATCTTTTGAAATTTGGAATAAGACAAAGTTTTCATGCTTAAAAATCACAGAAGCTGCTGAAGGTATGCTATTATTCCTCGAGTATTTATGCAAGCTGTCTGCATGATCTCCTGACACTATTCTATTAATTGAACTTGAATCGAGCATTTGTATCTATCATAAGAGTGAAGTAATTTATTGGCCATTGATAAGTGGTTTGACTGCAATGTAGAAACTACAGTATGAAGTGTTTTATGTCTGCATTGTCTTAATAATAAAAACAAGAGGTCTTTATAGAAATATCTATTTTTATGACATTGATTTCATGGTAAACTTGCTCCGTTATTTGTGTGGCACTTCTCTTCCTTAAATACACATCCCCATCTAAATCCAAATTTCACATTTTTAAATGGGGCTGAGAGAGAAATAACTCACACATTGAAATGTGCTTTGCTGAGATGGGCATTTTGTGGGATTATTTCTAGGAATAATGACCCTGGAAGGCCCAGTGAGATCTGTTGTATTCTGAAGAGAGAAGTAACTTACATATTTACTACCACAACTTCTACTAAACTAAACTCTGTTGTTAGACTTTGTTCTTGCTTTGTATGAAATGTTTTTAGGTTTCTATTACTAAAAATCACTTTTCAGAGCTTAGTTTTATTTATACCCCCATGTCTTGTGTTTTACTTCTATACTCATTTTTACCTTTTATTCATTCTTTATTTACCTCCATTGCTAAGATTCTGTTTGCACTAAAAACTACTGAGTTGCAGAAGTGCGGCTACACATGTATATATGTATGTATTAGGTATCTGTTTAAAGATATATTGTGTATAAAATATATGAATACTGGTAACAACTTGGCTTTGTGACTGTAACAATGTGTACATGTGTACACACACATGAGTTTTTTATGTGTGCTAAACTGGCAACCTGGAAGTCTGTCTAAAGTTACTATGGGCACCAAGTTTCCTCTTAGAGTTTATTTGTGTTCCAGAGAAGTATGCCAATAATGTAACCTAAAAGATTCCTCATAACTGAGAAATACATTCTTGAATCACCTCAATGGCAACAAAAGCCACATTTTGCTTCTCTTATGAATTACATGCATAAATTTTATGTAATTAAAATTTGAGTTAGAATACTTTTAAGTCAAAGAGACACACTTAGCAGCTCAGTATCTAAACATGGAGAGATATTTTCTGTGGCTTACCAATGCTTTATTGCTAATTTCTGATTGTGTTATCAGGAACTGAGTGGCAGGATATGGTCATGGAAAATATCTGTCTGGTTTCTAGTGGTTATCTGGCATTCAGGTCTCTCTCCCCTCTCTCCATTCAGCAGATTGGATTTAATCATTTATATTCACACGGAAAGACCTGCACACCAGCACCTTAGACAAAGCAGGAGTTTAAGGAGTAATTGTTGAAATAACAAGTGAGTTGTCAGGAGGGCTCCTGGTGAAAATGGAATATTTTTCTCCCTTCCAGTGGCAAATCTCTTCATCTCGGAAAAGCTTGATTTAATCCTGGACACCTCTTCACCTTATGAGTGAGAACTACCAGTAGAGTCACTACAAAAAGCCAGACCTGGTCTGGTCTTTGTACCTGATTGGAAATTCCTGGTTCCCAAGGGCTGCATTATGCCTAGGTTCTGGGGCTACAGGTTAGACTTATCATCATGCTTTCATAGGATCTACATTTCAGGTGAAAGAAACTCATGATGCAGGTGGTGAATTAAACATTCAGCCTCTGAATACAATATGATTTAGTGAACAACATACACATCTAAAAAGCACATTGGATTTGGGGTCAGCATCTGCAGCCAGGAGGTGTAAGCCTGAACATTGGTTCTTTCTTTAGTCAGAAAGGCCATTAAAAATCATTTAACCTCTTTTGAGTCTCAGGTTCCCCATCTATAAAATTAGAGGTGGGGAGTATCAGCGCCCCCTACCTCATGGAGTTGGTGTGAAGATTTGTACACATAAGAGGATAAATTCATGAAAATTATTTGGAAACTAAAGCCCTATATGGACCTTGCTTTTATTTAGGTCTCCAAGTGTCTAATATTACCTCCCCAGAGAGGTCTGCCTTGGCAACTCTATTCCCAGTGGATATCTATCCCAGTTTTACTTTCTTAATGAGATTTACTTTGTATAATACGTGTTATACTGTTTGCAGTAGTCTTACTTATCAGTTGCATTTTTCATCACTCTCCTGCAACCAGAATGTAAAGACATGAACAGGAACTTTGTCTATCTGGTCATCCATTTGATGCACAAAGCCTTAACCAGTTCTGGGCATGTAGTGAGTGACTGATAAATGTTCTGTTGAGTCTGCTGAAGGGACACTCTGGAATGAATCTTAGGTGACCTGGTTTCCCAGACTTACATTCCCAGACTTACATAACTCCTGAGATCCTGGGAGGCTTAGGTAAACAGTTTCCTTCCTTACTTCATAAGAATTTTTGAAAGGCGAAAAAAATATTTATGTCAAGCACTTTGAGTTTTGAGAAAAATTAACACTATAATAGTGGAACTCTTACGTTTTATATTTAGTGATAGGAACTGCTAGAGAAACTAAAGGACATTTGGCCTCCATTTTTTAATCAGTTCTGCATTGTGTGACATTTTAAGGTATCTTTGTGAACATGTCTACATTGTTGCCTCCAAGGCTAGCAGCACCTGCATAACTGGGAAAAAAGCACATTGCAGTGGAATTTCCAACATGAGAACAAGATCTATTAAATTTCTTACTATTTGTTACTCCCTGTTTTATTAAGTATTCAATCTTTGCCATTTTAATAAATCGTTCTTCATAGAATTGCTAATTTTATGGTCTTAATAACTAAGCAATTTCCTAGTTACTATGATCTTAATAACTAACTAATTCCCCAGTTATTCTGTGATTCAACTCTTACCCTCTTTAATCATTTAATTCCTGTTAGCTAATATTTGTATTTCACGTTTCTGCTATTATACAAAGATGATGAAATTCACATTATGGACAATGAACTGCATGCTTGCTAAATGTGCATTACACTTCTTCCTTTGAAATCATATGTTTTTTATTGTATTTGTTATAGTGCAAGTTTGTTTGAGTAGCTAATATTTACTGTAGCATCTATTTCTGAAATGAGTGTTAGAAATGACTGCAGCCAGATCTTAGTTTGAAGTTATATGAATGAAGAAAGTGTAAGAAATTGAATTTATCCTCTGCTAGAGATCTCTTTTGATTTTCCATATAAGATAAGCTTTGTAATGTATATCAGCATTGTTTCCTTCAATCAGTTTTGATTCTAAGTCTTCTATACTCTTATGCAGACTAAAATATGCCAAAGAAAAACAAGTTTGTTTCTGTGATGAATTCACAATAATTTCTGATTATAAAATATACTTGGAGAAGTAAGAATGTTCAATGCCTAATTTCCAAGAATATTCCTAGGAGCTGAGGAAGAATGTGAACACTTCCTTTTTTTTTTTTTTAAGTTGTCTTTGCATGTAAAATTGGATTATCTTTGGTTTAGAAATACCATACCTCCATGGGGTTGAGTGGGGAATATTGAAGTAGGAAAAGAGTGGAGAAAATATGCAAAAAGTTCTTTTAGCTTTTACTCTTACAGAACATACCACACAATAAACAGAAGAGAGCGCGTTTAATTACTACAAGAATAGAACAATTTTATTTCAACAACTACGATTTCAAGAACTGTGGTAATCTATGGTCCACTCAGCTATCTCATAGCACATAAACCAGTATTCCCCATCATATATAAATAACACATTTGTGTCACTACTGTGTGACTTTAAAAATATTTTGTAGTCAAATTTGAGAGGTAGAGAGCAAATTCTATCTGATGCAAAGTTTGGGGAAGAATTAACTTTCAGTGAGAATTAGTCTTGGCTTGGAAAAAATGGAGGGCCAAGCTTTGCAAGGCAAATGATTTGTCCCTAGAAGCTCATTTCCTATTAAATTCACACATAGCAAATTTATCCACCATGTGAGCTTTATGGAGGTTCTCAACCCTATTAGCACATTAGAATTACCTGGAGAGCTTTAAAAAAAAATTGCAGAAGCACCGTTCCTGCCCCCAGAGACACATATTTAATAGGTCGGGGCGGCGGCGGAGAAGAAGATGCATCGGTATTCTTTTAAAGTCACCCCAAGTGAGACTATGTGCAGCCAAATTTGAGAGCCATTATATTTACCGTAGTTACTGAAAGGCAAGTCTTCCTAATCTCACTTTAATGAACTAAACACCACCACATGCCCTGTCTTAGAAACCGATTGGGAGATCCTGAGGCAATGGTTGGATTTTGGATTTTGGAAGTGGTCTTGAATCACCAAAGGAGGGTTATTTAATCGTTGCTTCTCTCTCTCTCTCTCTCTCTCTCCCTCTCTCACACACACACGCTCCTGTTACCTTTGCGTTCAAAGGAAGGTTGAGTAAATATTCGCATCCGCATTTGGCTGCTGGGATCTCTTCTCACGTGGGCGGGGTGGCGGTTGCTCCTTCCCCCATCAGCGGGCTTTTCTGTGGGCTTCCCCATCCCCCACAAAATAGGTGCTTTCCAAGTCCCCTGAGTCATCAAAATGCAGTGACAACGAGGGGATTTGAGGACGGATTATGTGGATAATCAGGGAAGTCTCGAGGTTAAATGAACAAAACATCGCCAGTGATAGATGTGGGTGTCATCGCCAGTGACAGCTGAAAGGGGAATCTCAGCTTGTCTGCTGGTCGCTGACAGGTGCCCACGGGCGAGCTGATATAGCGCAGAGTCGTTTTTTAAAATACTCGCCAGGAGAGTTGTTAAAAGGACCCTTTTTAATAGTAGCCATTCAGTGTGTAAATTAATTCCACTCTCTTAGGTGCAGGTATACTGAGTGTGCACAGAGGCCGAGCTTCCGGCAGTCAGTGGGAGGCGGGGGTTCCCTCCTTTTCTCTCCTTGTGGGTGCGCACGCCAGCGGTGGCTTCCAGCTGAGCCCAAGGACTCTCATGGGAAGGGCAGGGCCCGCGGGCCGAAGACTGGAGCCCCTGCTTACTCTGCAACCGCGGCCCGCGGCAGCCACTGCCACTGGGACACCGGGGGTGGGAGGGGCAGAATCCCGCACCCTGGGGCTAGCGGGGTCTTCCTGGCCCCCTGCAGCCTCTCCGGCTGGAAAGGACCCAAGGCCCCCCAAGGTGCCAGGCGCTGAGCCCCTCTTGGTCGGGCCAACGACGCTTTAGGCTGTCCCGTTCGCCCCAGTTCCCAGCTCCATTACAGGTGAGTTTGAGATCGAAAAGGCAGAGGAGGGCTCGGGGACAAATCGAAGGCACAAGGACGCTGCCATGAGCCCATTTGTCACGCGTGGAGGGAACCAGCGGCCACACTATCTTGCCAACCCCATCACTCGGCATCCCTGCTGAGTTTGGTTTGCCTTTGGGTGAACCTGGTATTCAGCCTTACCTGTAACGTCCCGGATTTCAGGGGCTGGGGAGTAGGTTATTTACAACCAGATGACGTTTTTAATATTCCTAGATGCCCATGGGCCGCTCCCAGAGCCCGCCCGAAAGCTACGCATTCGCATTTATTTGTAAAAATAGCAGAGGTGCCCAAAAAAGTAAATTAAGAAAAAAACAGACGCCGGGTACGGTGCCTGCGCCCTGCGGGGAGTCGCCTTCGTTTAGTCCCAGGTTTCTCCTTCGCTTTTGGCAGCAGGGGTTCGAGAGTCTCAGCCCCGAAGGGCTCCCGAAAACCTGCTCCCCGCCGAAAGTCCCCAATTTCCCCTCGGCTTCCAAAGATGCAAAGAGCATCTTGACAAACCGTCTCATTACCCGAGGGCGGGACAGTATGACCTGGACACGAAAGTTGGAGGGGGGACTTGGAAACACCTTAGGAGTCTTGAGGTGCGTTTGTAAATTTCTCCCCAGGGGCCGAACCTGCGTTCTCACGCCCAGGAGCCCAAGACCTGGCCTCCGCAACGACACAGTCCTTATCCCAGACCTTCTACGATGTCTCCATAATCAGACTTGGCGGTCGGGAAGAAGGCGAGGATCACTGCGGGGCTTGCCGCGGAGTAGGAAGGACTCAGAACACCGGCAAAGACGCCTCATTCCAAATGCAGAGCAGATCGGCTGTAACAGGAAGGCGAGAAGGTTGGAATTCTTACTTGCCCGCCGTTGTCCCGACCGAATAAGAGGCTGAAGTGTCTCAAGTTGTTTTCTGCATGGAAATTAGGTTAATAAATTTTCCCCGGGAGAAAAAAAAAAGTTGTTTAAAATAAGAAACACTTTAGGCAGGGCACAGTGGCTCACACCTGTAAACCCAACACTTTGGGAGGCCGAGGCCAGACGGTCGTTTGAGGCCAGGAGTTCCAGACCAGCCTAGTCAATACAGAGAGATCCCTGTCTCTAACAAAAAATACAAAAATTAGCCGGGCATGGTGGCACATGCCTGTAGTCCCAGCTACCTGGAAGGCTGAGGCGGGAGGATCGCTTGAGCCCAGGAGTTGGAGGCTGCAGTGAGCTGTGATCTGGCCACTGCACTCCAGCCTGGGTGACAAAGCAAGACCCCGTCTCAATCAATCAATCATACAAGCAAGCACTTTAAAGTGGGATTATTGGACGTATTTTAAAAAGGAAATGAGGTGAAGTAAATTTCTAAATTATTTTCAGTCGAGATAAGTTACTTTGGTGTCTCCTGAAGGCATTAAAGGTAACTTTTGTTGACATTTACTTACTGACAGAACAAGGCAAACAATGAAAGATGAAGTATTGGCCGGGCGCGGTGGCTCACGCCTGTTATCCCAGCACTTTGGGAGGCCAAGGTGGGCGGATCACGAGGTCAGGAGATCGAGACCATCCTGGCTAACACGGTGAAACCCCGTCTCTACTAAAAAAAAAAAAAAAAAAAAAATACAAAAAATTAGCCGGGCGAGGTGGCGGCGCCTGTAGTCCCAGCTACTCGGGAGGCTGAGGCGGGAGAATGGCGTAAACCCGGGAGGCGGAGCTTGCAATGAGCCGAGATCGCACCACCGCACCAGACCTCATGCTTTCCGGGGCTGATCAAAGTAGTTGAAAACCAGTACCTTCTAACGGATCAGGACTGGCAACATAACCTTGTTCTGATTTAAACCCTAACACAGCGGCGGCTTAGCTGTGTGAACTTAGGCAAGTTAATTAACCTCTGTGTACCTCCTTTTTTCATTTTAACTAGATATAACCTAATTGATTTGAGCAGTAAGTGGTTGAATCTTGTAACACACTGAGAACAATGCCATTATATACTAAGCACTCAATAAACATATACTGTTATGATTCACCATTATCAAGTACTGTTGTCACCACATGTGGATTTCCTTAGTTCTCTTGAGATACCTTATTCAGATTATTTCGATGGGGAACCCTGGCAGCAGGACCAAGAAACAGCAGGCCCTCCAAGCCCTCATGTTGCCAGCCCCAAGACACCAAACATGTCCAAGAAATCTCAAGAAGAGTGTCGTCTGATTCCCAGGACAGAGACTGAGACAGGTGAAAGATTGCTGAGCAGTTTGTAATGCTAGGCAGGGCATAGCGGCATCCTCTTCCCTGATCCCCCCATCCTGGCACTTCAGTGACTTCTACTTTAAAAGGGTTTATTCCAAGTATTTGTTTTATTTACCTTCACCGTTTCTCCTATCTTGCTGCACTTTTGCAAAGTTTGAGCAGGCAAAGTCCAAACTCGATTTATTTTAAAACCTTGGGGGCAAACCAAATAGGATTTTTCTTAAGTCAGTACTAAGTAAGGGTATATGTAATTTGTCTAGCCCATGATAGGATCATAAATATTGCATTGTCCTTTCTAATATCTTTTTCCCTATCTCAACCACCTATATTCTGCTGCCCCCAAATATACAAGAATCTCCCGTATTATGGAAGAGTGAATTGGGAATGCAGATCAGTTCTCCCAGTGCAAATGTGCCCTTCAAATTGGAAATGATCATTCATTGTTGCCTAGTGTAATATATCACCTGGATTCCATGCAGAACATCAGTTAGGATTCATTTTATCAGATATATCTTAGTAATTCTATTCTGATATTTGATGCCTCCCTCTATTTCTCTCTCTTCCTCCATGGTTCTTTTCAGTTTGGAGCAATCCTCTCTTTTTCCAGGCGTTTTTCCTTTTTTCTGTCTCTAATATTACCCATTCCTAGGACTTTCCTGCTTTTTGAGCTTGGAAAGCTTCTCTGATTTTTCCTGCCACCCTGCTTTTGAATGTCCCGTGGTCTGGCTCCTGCCCTCCTGAGTCACTCTCCTCCAGTGAAAGCCACACAGTTTGCTCTTCTGAAAGTCAAACTGCTTCACCAAGCAGAAGAGTGGAGCAAAGCCCCCATCATGTGACCTTGTACTGAGAGACCAGAAATTATCTTCTGTTACAGGCATGATTCTCATGTCCCCATTATGACAGGGGTGCCTGGTCTTTCTGAGGACCTCTATGGATTGCTTTGGAGATATGAAGATTAGGTTTGGAGATGCCACAAAGATTCCCTTTCATCAATGGACCTTCTCACCTCTTCCACCGGTACATATTTCTGTTTACTTCCCTGATGAGCAGCTCTAAGTTGTTTATTGGTAGGTTTTATTTTATCAGTGGTTCTTGTGATAAGAACTTCTCTCTTTGACTGTGTAGCACTTCTGCATACTACTCTGAGAAATCTGTAGTGTTCACAGTGGCTTTGGGAGTCCAAGGTGGGAGAATGGCTTGAGACCAAGAGTTCAAGAGCAGCCTTGAGGCTCCATCTCAAGAAAGAAAGGCAGTGGGAAGAGAGAAAGAGAGAGGGAAAGAGGGAGAGAGAGAGAGAGAGAGAGAGCAAGGAGAAGTAGTAGTAGAAGAAGAAGAACAAGAAGAACTAGAAAAAAAAGAAAGAAGGAAAGAGAAAGAGAAAGAAAGACAGAAAGAACGAAAGAAGGAAAGAAAGAAAGAGAAGGAAAGAAAGAAAGAAAGAAAGAAAGAAAGAAAGAAAGAAAGAAAGAAAGAAAGAAAGAAAGAAAGAAAGAAAAGAAAAGAAAATTTGTGGTCTCTTTTCAAGCCTTTACCGCAGGGCCACAAGCTGTTGCCTCCACTTCATCTGTTGCATTCCTTGGTCCCAAACTTCTTAAGCTTTCAAAGATGTGTTCAAAGACTTTGTAATAACTTATGAAACTTTGTGAAAGTATTTCCTCCCGAATTCTTCCTGCTGGTTTATTTTCCATTTATCTCACAGAAATACCAGCCAAGGAATGATGACTGGCTCTTTAGGGTCTTGGGCTCCTCTGGATTATCTGGAAAGAGGGATCTTCCATACCCCTCCCACTGCCAAAGTGGTAGTAGCTCTTCTGAATCACCCAGGAGGAAAATACAGACTTGCCCCCACGATGTGGAGCAGCGCACTCCTAGCTTTGCCAACATCTCCCCTGCCTTGGAGGGAGTTTCCTTCTGTATGGGAAATGGGAGTGACAGGTTCTATAGAGTGGTGATGTGGACACCAAGAAGGTGTGCTATCATTTTCTATCAAATAAAAATGCAATTTTCAGCAGACAGGAGTTAGATGAAGAGGCCCAGGTCCATCTTGGATTTTTGAGCCACAATCACTGGAAGAGAGGAGTCCCATACCTCTGGCATGTCAACGGTGACAGCTACCCTAACCCTGGAGGTGGTTCGAGGGACAGAGCTAAAGGGAGCCTCAGTCGGTCCATCAGAAGGTTCAGTCCTCCTGTCACCCAGCCTCCCACAGCCATTTTGAAATATCTTTCCAAAGAAGACAATGGGACACATCTAGAGAGATGCTGGGCCCCCAGAGAAGGCAAGCACTACCTCTTTTGGAGGGAAGCATATCTGCAGGTTTGGAAGCCCAGGCCCTGCCAGGAGTTTTACAGGACCTCAGCCTACCACAGCACAGTAGGCATTCACTAAAGTGTTGTGGACTACATGGTTTCATCACTTTCCTTTATCCTTGCCTTTCCTTCAGCCAACACTCCTTCCTCCTCTCCCTTCTCTGCAGGGAGCTACAGCCTTCCCAGACCTCTCCTGCTAAAATATCAACTGCATCCCAGCTTTTCATACCCATTCATTCACTACCCCACCCTTGGTCCTTCAAACTTCTCCTGAGCTGAGCTTCAGTCTTACAACCAATCTCCTGGCAGGGTGCATATATATATATATGTGTGTGTGTGTGTGTGTGTGTGTGTGTGCGCGCGTGTGTGTGTGTATTGCTGTTTTCTAGACCATCAGCTCTGCCAGGGCAAAGACTTTGGTCCGTTTCGTTGCTGTGGCGCCAGCACTAGGAAAGGCACATAGTAGAAGCTCAATAAGTATATGTGGAATAAATGAAAGGCCAAGGGTGCCAGAATGCGATCGACTCCAGAAGCCAGAAGACTAGCCGGGCCAACGATTCAGTGGGAGAAGAGGGGGACAATCAAATAATCTGGTGACCAGCAAGGTTCGCAGGTGCCTCAGGTCCAGGAGATGACCCGTGATCAAAGGAGCCTGAGAACTTTCAGAGGGAGAATGAATGATTGAATGTGAGAATGCGGACACCGGAGTGTGCCCAGCACGAAGGAAACAGCAAGGAAGAGGGTGGTGCTCCAGGCGCTGCTAAACTCTGGCGGGTGGTGCTCGCGGGCCACTGCCACACGCACTCTCATCTCCGCTAGTGTGGCCCAAGCAGCGCAGCGGGGCAGGTTCCTTCGCAGGCCACCGGGTGCCCAAGGCTGCGTGCCAGGGCTCAGTAGCTCCCGGCAGCGCGCTCGAAGGAAGGGTTCAGTGTGCGGTGAGACTTTCTGCTTCCCGGGGAGGCTCCGAAAGGCCCTCGAGCCAATGGCGCCCGAGGACGCGAGGGTGGGCAGGCCAGTCCTTTAGGGTGGGGACCAGCCCTCCGACGCCAAGCTTGATGCAGCTTTTATAATTTTTCTTTATCCAGCAGAATCTCTTGAAGGTACGACGGTCCAGGCTCAAAGCGCAGAAAGGTTAGGACCTACTAGTATAGGGTGGGACTAGGGAGCAAGGTCAGGCCAAGAGGCCAAACCCTGCTTTGCTGAGAGAGGTGGTCGCACAGGACACCCCGCCCCAAGGCGTTCTCCCGTGAAAGCCCAGGGTCCCTGCCTTCAGAGGACGAGACTGCTGCGGGGCTGCCCGGAAATAACCTGAGTTTGCACCCACCCCCTCCAACCCCAGTCTCCAGCCAGCTTTCCCACTTGCGACCCGGAGGCTTCGAGCTTTCCTGGTTCTCTATGCCAATAATTGGAGGATCTCTCTCTCTCCCCAGAACTCACTCCTGAGCAGTGTGCTGGTCGTACAGCAACCTAGTCACCTGGGAGGAGTTGGTCGCCCGGACGACTTCTAAGGTCTTCCCCGCGCCGTCCCCCAGAGTAGTTTTTCGGGGCGTCCTGGGGCAACAGGTGGTTTTCTGCCTCCCCCTGTCTCTTCGCCCCAGGCTCCTTTTCAGAGGGTCCTAGGGAAGAGGAGGACTGAGAACCGCGTGGTCCCCACTGAGCCTGGGGGTGAGGGGAAGGAGGAAATGGGCCATGAAGTGTCCTCGCGAGTCCCTGTGCGAGTTTCTGAGCGCGTGCCCAAATAGTGAGTGGGAGGCATTTCCCGGCCTGTCCAGGGATCTAGAGCGGTCCTGCTAGCGCGCAACCAGCCCGTGTTTCCGGGAGCGCCTGGTGAGCAGCCAGCGCCAGGCGAGCCCAGAAAGGTGGAAATCACGGTGGAAACGCCCGCCACGCTGCTGCTTCTCCAAACGCGCTCTGGGAAGGGATTAGGCGCCCCCTGCACTTTCGCTTTGGGCGTGATTGATGCGAACGGTGAGCTAAGGGCTGCGTAATTAATAAAGATTATGCCGGTTTTGTGGAAACGTTCCTCTTAATTAATGAAGGAGGGGGGTTCTAAGGGTGTTTGATTTGCATTTGGAAAATTCCCTCGGCGGCTCGGGCTACGTGGTGAAGCGGCCCCAGGGACCCGGGACTAATTGGTAACCGCCCGGCCAAGGCGTTCTTGTTCCGGATCAAGTGTACCCCCATCCTGTTCCCCTCGCCCCGAGGTCTACCGGGCTGCACTGGGGCTCAGGGCCCCACTCAACTCTGTCTGCATTCACTCCTCCTCGAATGGGTCTCCTTGCCTTCTGCGGACATTGGCAGGCACCCCCGCCCCCTAGCCCCGCACGTTTCCCACAGAGCTTCCTGATCCTTCTCCATCTAGAGGGTACCTCCAGGAGCCCAGATCGCCGATCCTTGGGCTCGGCCAGGGCTTCCGTCGCTGTCCCCTGGGAGGGGGCCGAGGGATGGAAAGAAGCATTTATTCCGTGTCTCTAAGGCCAAAGGGCGCTCAGGGAACGCTGAGAACCCTCCCCGCCCTGTGTGATTTTGTGTGTGTGTGTGTGTGTGTGTGTGTGTACATGTGTGGCTGTTTGTGTCCCTGTATGGGTCGTATATGTGTGTTTCTAAATATCTGGGAGTGGTGCGTTTTGTTAAAATACTACCTTTTCTCGGGCTTTACTGTTCACCTGCTGCAGCCCAGGCAAAAAAAGTCTCCTCTCCCTAGCGTTGCCGCCGTGAAACACACTTTCGCTTTAACCGTAGACTCCTCCTGGTCCCGGGTTGGAGGGGGAAGCAAGTGCTCCCTGCCCAGAAGGAACTGGGGGCAGGGAGGTGGGAGAGACCCAGTGGCCGCGTGCAGGGCCCGAGAGCCGAAAAGTGGCTTCAAAGGTTTTGGTAACGACTCTTCGGCCTTTATTTATGCCCCTATTAATACAATATCCATCATGTAGATATCGATCTTTATCCTTTAAACTGATACGCTGAGAATCAATTAGCCATGCAGATTACATTTCCTACATATCCAAATGTTAATCTCTTAGGCTCAGAGCCGGTGACAATATATTTTTGCAGCCAGATAGTATTAGATTTCGTTCAGAAAAAAAGAAGACGAAGAAGAACAGGAAGAAAGACTCTCCGAGGCTCCTTCCTCTTGGGGCTACTTGTCTTAACTCTTGGCCAGGCTGGGGCTGGGGTGCCCCTCACAGAGTTTTCCGGGGCCAAGAAGCGAGACCCCGAGGATGGTGCGCGCGCAGGGCCACGGCGGGGAGCCGGGCAGCTTTCTGCAAGAGGGCTGTGGGAGGTTGGCGGGTTATCGAGGGGTCTGCCCTTCTGCCGCGTGCTCCCTCCAAGCTAATCAACGCGTCTCCGTGGCCCCTTTCGATGGGTTTCTGTGTCGGAGATGGTCAGGTTTCATCTTTTTAGAATTTTTCCACCTGGTTCTCCAATCTCCAAGGTTCTGGATCAAAATTATTCTCCTGTCCCTCGCCCCCAAACCTACGACTTGTTTAAAGGTTCATCTCCAGAAAAAGAAACTTTATTTAAAAGAGGAAACGGGTGTTTTCTTGGGTGATGGGAGATGAAAAAGTTTAAGGTCTAGGAAGGAACTTAATGAAAGTCATATGTAGAAATTCAGGAAGCTGAGGCATCCTGCTTTGGTTGTGGTGATGAGAGTTTCTCCCCTCTTCCCTCGCCCACGCCTTCCCTCCATTCTTCCCTCACTTTAATATATTTTTTTAAAATTTATTTCCTTCTTTCTCTCTTTCCTTCTCCCTCTCTTTCTTCTTTTTCATCCCCTCCGCCTCTTCCCCAGTTTTGAAAGAGTGAGGGGTCGAGAGAGGACGTGTCCTAGGGTGGGCAGCCCTCCTGGCTGTGGACTGCGGGCTCTCAGGAGACGCCCGGGTGGAGTCGAATATCTCCGAGAGGCAGGTGCGCGCAGCACGCTTCAAAACGCCTCTCTGCAGTCCCAGGTCCGCGCTCCCCAAGACTCTGGCCAGATCGCGCGGGGCTTGGCCCCTGACAACTCTGCCTCCTCCACCTGTCGCGTTTACTCCGTTTAGTTGGCTATGCAGTCTCTGGCCCCAGATGTGCTTTTAAAACCCGAGGAACGCGGGTGCCGGACTGATTCTCAGCCTCTTCCCTCGGGGTCCCATGATCCCACTGTGGCGAGCTTCCAGGCTGAGCGAGGAGATGTGGGTTTGAACATTCGTCTCCCATGTTTCTCTTTTCTTGCTCCTCGCGTCACTGGTCCCTCTTCCCTACCGCTGAAATCCGTCTCGAGGAGAAATTTTCTCCGAGGGTTCCAGAGACCCAGGCTGAGAAGCGGCTGCGGCTCACTGCGCTGGTTCAGGAGCTGGGGCCGCGTGGAGTCGGAAGGAGTCCAGTATGGATCTGAGCGAAATAAAGACCAGTTAGTTGCCCCCGCCCAGTACCCTCCTCCCCCAACAGCAGGACACACAGCCCCAGCTCTTTGTGTACAGGCGCCCAGGGGCAAGAGTTCCTGGAGTGGTCACTCGCCTACTTTTTTGCTCCAGGAATCAAGGAAACCAACGGACCCCAAAATTTCTTTTATTCACTTCTTCCAACTCTGTTCCCGCCCCGACCTCACTCATAGCCTTCGCCTGACTCTGCAGAGGTCAGACTTTCTGGTCTTTCCAAGGCCCAGGCTGCCTGCCTCCAATATAAGACGGTCCCTCAGCTAAGTAAGGCCCTTCAACTCTTACCCCTTTCACACACTCCAGGTTCTTTCACTCACACACATACACACAGCCCGAATACACACACTCCCCGAATACACACACCAAAGAGCAGTTACCGAATTTCTCTTCTAAACATCACCTCCACCCCACCATGAACTTTTACCTAATTGAGTAGAACATTTTTTGGAAGATTAGACAGACTTACTCTAATTTTCTAAAAGACACCTTCCCCCACCCCACCCCCCGGAGAATCGGGCTTTGGAATCTTGTCTTCCTTGTTTTGCCTAAAAATAATTTTCTCAGACCCAAATGGACTAGGAGACCAACCGCGATGAGATGTATTCTCTCCCTCCCTCCCTGGCTTTAAAAACCTCTTTCTTCTTTCCCTCTTTTCTTTTTCCTTTCCTATTTTCCTTCTTCCTTTCCTATTTTCTGTCTTCCTTCCTTTCTTCCCACAAACCACATGTTCTTTATTGTAAACCCGCTCACAAGTTCCCTGGGGCTCCCCCAGCTGCAGGAACAAACCCACTTCGGCTGGCCTACACCATGTTTCAATGCGATGTCCACATCCTCATCCAGTCCCTTAATCCGAACTCATCCCGACTGATTTTTCGATGGGGAGAAGAGCGGCGCCAATGCTTTTGACAAATAACTGCGGGGGGCCTAATGGCGGTCACTGAGGCAGCGGCTGCGAAGGACCACGGGTTTAACCCGGGCATTCATCAATCCTGTATCATCACATCCGGACCGGAAGCTCATGATCAGGAACCTGGCGTTTCGATATCCTCCCCGTGAGCCCCCGGCAGCCTTTCTGTGGGACTGGGGGTTTCTCAGCGTTTGCCCAAATTTTACTGCATCCTGAGAGTCACGCCTGGGGCTGGGCGGGTGGCCAGGAGCTTCTCTGCTCGACCGTGTCAGCCTGCTAGAGCTTGGCCCTTCAGACAGGACGAAAAAGGCCTGGGCGGCAGACGCCAGTCCCGCTCCCTACTAGGTCAGGGACATTATTTTGAATAGATCATAATTTCCTCTTAAGACTTGTGTTTCACTGAGTATAAACTCATCCCTCAGAGGCCCGGAGGAGTTCATGGGCCATGAAACCCTTGTGCCAGTGTCCTCAAGTGCGGAGGCTGTGCGCTGAAGGGTACTTCGCAGCCCAGACTGAAGTCACCCAAGCGCGACTAGGCTGTAGGTCCACGCATCCAAACGGGCTGCAAGGTAGAACCTTCAAGCCAACAAGGGCAAGCTCCACCCAGGCCTGGACAGGCAGCCCACTGTTAATTTCACCTGCAGCGACTCTGAAATTGGAGGTAGAGGGGCAGAGGGGGCAACAGAAGCTATTTCCCCCGCCCCCCGTTTTTTTTTTTTTGTTTGTTTGTTTGTTTTGGTTTTTTTTTTTTTTTTTTTTTGGTCAAATTATCCAAGTACTGTCTTCAAGGCTCCGGTTTCATTTCGAACGTGCACAGAGCGTGAGTGGAGGCTAGGTTCGTTCACAACACCAAGAGTCCCCCTGATGCGCTCTGGGTAATTTGTTAGCCCGGGGAAACTCCACTGCCTCCCAAACCTGGGTTCAAGGATGCAGGCACGGGCCCTCGCCTTCCAAGCCCCACCGCTGGGGCATTCCTTTACCAATTAGCACCTGTACCGCGGCCAAATTTGGCACCAGGACTCCTTGGCTCACCGGCTCCGGATAGGGAAGTGGCCTGGACTCCCACCAAGCTGCGGGGATTGGGGGTGCGGTGGCTTGGGCTCCGGAGAGACTTCAGAAAGAAAGAAACGGGAGGCCCAAGCCTCGGAGATGGAAAAAGAGTGGCTGGAATCACCCGACTTTCCTGAGACCTGTTGCGCCCGGTTCTGCGGAGTCCCCGGCTCTGAGCCGGGTTAACTTCGGCAGAGTGCGGGCGCCCTAGGCCGGGCAGCCTCAGCCAACATTACTGTCCTGGCCATCCCAGGTCGGACTTCTGGGACACAGGCCACAAGAAATTTAGATTCCCGAAGTCTTTGGATGTGGCCCAGCTGTCCAGAGCCTAAGGGTGCGCATCCACCCCTCTCCGTGTCTCCAGGCACCTCTGGCCACTGCCCGGTGGAGAAGGGCGGAGCTGATCATCTGGGTACATATGAACCTCAGAGCGCTTGGCAGAAGAGAAAGAGGCCGGAAAGGAGAGAAAATGAGTCGCCCCCTGATTCCGGAGTCACATCCTCGTGGCCTCCATTTGTACGATTTTATAGCAAGTGGTGGCTAGTTTATGAACCAGCCCCCATGGACACTTAAGACTCGGCTCAGCCGGCAGTACCTCCGTTCAACGGTCTCGCGGACTCTGCAGTCTAAGGGACCCGGAGAAGGAAGCTTGAACAAGCGCCTCCCTCCAGCATCTGCCGGCTCTCAGGAGAGAAAACTGCCGGCAGGAGAGAGACGGGTGGACTCTGGGAGGGCTTGGCCAAGCCCCCGGCTCAAAAACAAATGAGACTCAGTCCTAGATGTTCTTTAACTGCTCGCGGGGTGCCAGAGTTTATTTTAGCTGAGAGTTGAGCCTGCATTTGCCTTCTTGAAATTACACTTCGGATACCTCCTTCACCCAACAATTACCGCTGACCCCAGAAAGTGCTCTGTCGGCTCTGCTCAACCTTTGGGAAGAAGAAAACTTGGAAAAAGTCTAACTCTCAAAACGCTGTCGCTGAGAAGTGGCTTAAAAAATAAGGACACAGGCTTTGGTGACCCCAGCTCCTTAAAAAGAAAATAAGACAATTTTCCCCTTAAAAAAAATGGAATCATAATTTGTAAAACCAAGTTAAACAAGGCACATGCCTCCCTCATGGGTCCAGACATTTTTGGGAGTCTCCTGAGACCTGTCCCCGTGGCTCTGAGGGTCAACCAAGCCTTCTGGCATCAGGCAGGCTGAAAGCTTGTCTGTTTTCCCCTATGGTGGGTGGGTTTTTAAAGGACCAACTTGTGGACTGCTGAGCAGCTATACCCCAACCCCCTCACCCCCACCCCCACCATCTTGCCTTCTGAGTTTGCCTTAATTAGGGAATGGCGAAGTACGGTGGGGGCCCGAGTTCACGTCAAAACTGTCAAAGGAGGTGGGGGAGGGGGACAGAGAGAGAGGAGTGGAGAACTCCTGGCGCACGAAAAATTCAAAAATCGTAAAAGGAAAAGGGGGAACTTGAAGCCCAGAAGTCATTGTTTCCTTTATTTCAAAGGGGAAAACCTGCCCGATTCTCATCCTTTTGATTGATTAAGGCCCTGAATACCTCGCGGACCCGGAGTGACAGTCCCTGAATAGACTTGAGCGAATAAAGCGCAGTGCAGAGCGCGGGGCTGGCACTCGGGGGTGTAAAGGAGGCGAGTTCGCTGGCACTTACCAAGTTATAAATAAAAGGCTATGCACAATGGTACCTTCTCTAAGGACAGACAGTCTTTACAACACTCCTGGCGTCATATCCTGCTGGGGACACTTCAGCTCCTAGCCAAGACTTCGTTCCTTTTATTTTTCCAGCAGTTTAGTCTGAATGCCATAATAAATTCCTGAGAACAAACGCTGCAGCCGGGCAAAACTTTAACATATAGACACATCTCTGTCGACGCATCGGGGATCTATATGTGGAGATTTAGAGCCGCAGCTTGCCAGAGGGGTTTTTAAATCAAGGAGAGGAGCCGGGTTTTTTTCTGCACCCTCCCCCCATACCCCCAGCCTTCAACTAACGAGGGCTTGGGCCTAGCGACGGCTGCCTGTGCTTCACACTAGCCCGGCTTGCAGACGGAGAAGACAAAAGAACATCAGCGCACCCTGGACTCACTCCCGGGAGAAACCCCATCGAGAGGACCCCTTAACAAGCCTAGGCCAAGGGGCACTGACCATAGGAAGGAAAGCTAAATATGTCTGGGGCCCCAGATGCCTTCTTATTGGAATTGTGCCCCCTCCAGTGGCAGTAAGCCAAGAGAAATGAGAGCGAGACCTACAGGTAGAAAAAATGAGACATAGAGAGACACAGGAAATCACAAGAGGAATAGAGGCAGAGCGAGACACATAAAGAGAGACAGAGAAAGAGACAGAGAGACAGAGAAATAGAAAGTCAAGGAAAGAGAGATCAGACACACACACACACACACACACACACACACACACACACACACACTCTCACACAGAGTGACAGAGACAGAGAGACGGAGACTCTTTTCCACCCTCAGCTACTGCCATTTCCCTAGGGCTGTCTCTCTCAGTTTCCACCGGGCCACCCTTCTCTCCTGGGCAAGGGGCGCAGCGCGGGTCCCCCTCGGGGCCGGCAGAGGCCTCGGCACCACCAGAGATGGGAAGAGAAAGTGGCCGCTGTCGCCCAATCAGCGCGTGTCTCCGCCACCCGGGACGGTCTCCCCATCGGCCAATCGCAGCTCAGGGCTCCTGACCAAGCTTTGGGTAAAAGAATTAATAAATGCTCCCGAGCCCGGATCCCCGCACTCGGTGTCACCACAGGAGGAGACTCAGGCAGGCCGCGCTCCCGCCTCACCCGACTGCCCGGCTTGCCGTGGCTCTCTGAGCCCCCTTTTCAGGGACCCCAGTCGCGGGAGCATTTGCCCGGACTCGCACCAAACTTTTCCGCCCTGGGCTCGGGATCCTGGACTCCGGGGCCTCCCCGCCCTCCCCTTTCCCGGGTTCCAGCTCCGGCCTCT